TTATGAGCAACCATACACCAGCAAATTTGACAACCAGGAAGAAATGGATGCATTCCTTGAGATGTATAAACTATCAAAACTGAACCAGGAAGAAATAGAAAACCTGAACAGACCCATAACGAGCAAGGAAATTGAAGCAGTAATCAAAAATCTCCCAAAAAGAGCCTTGGGCCAGAAGGCTTCCGAGGGGAATTCTACCAAACATTTAAAGAAGAATTCATACCTATTCTCCTGAAACTGTTACAAAAAATAGAAATGGAAGGAAAACTTCCAAACTAATTTTATGAGGCCAGCATGACCTTGATCCCCAAAACAGACAAAGACCTCATCAAAAAGGGTAATTACAGACCAATATCCCTGATGAACATGGATGCAAAAATTCTCACCAAATACTAGCCGAGAGGATCCAACAGTACATTAAAAGGATTATTCACCATGACCAAATGGGATTTATTCCTGGACTGCAAGGTTGGTTCAACATCCGCAAATCAATGTGATACAATACATTAATAAAAGAACGACAAGAACCATATGATACTCTTAATAGATGCTGAAAAAGCATTTGACAAAGTACAGCATCCTTTCTTGATCAAAACTCTTCACAGTGTAGGGACAGAGGGTACATATCTCAATATCATAAAAGCCATCTATGAAAAACCCACAGTGAGTATCATTCTCAGTGGGGAAAAACTGAGAGCTTTCCCCCTGTGGTCAGGAACACGGCAGGGCTGTCCACTATTACCACTGCTATTCCACATAGTACTAGAAGTCCTAGCCTCAGCAATCAGACAACAAAAAGAAACAAAAGGCATCTGAATTGGCAAAGAAGTCAAACTCTCACTCTTCGCAGATGATATGATACTTTACGTGGAAAATCCAAAAGACTCCACTCTAAAACTGCTAGAACTCCTACAGGAATTAAGTGTCAGGATATAAAACCATTGCACAGAAATCAGTTGCATTCCTATACACCAAGAACAAGACAGTAGAGAAATTAAATAGCCGATCCCACAGTTGCATCCAAAGCCATAAGCTACCTAGGAATAAATCTAACCAAAAAGGCAAAGAATCTGTACTCAGAAAACTAAAATACTCATGGAAGAAATTGAGGAAGACACAAAGAAATGGAAAAACATTCCATGCTCATGGATTAGAATAAGAAATATTGTGCAGAAGTCTATGCTACCTAAAGTAATCTATACATTTAATGCAATCCCTATCAAAATACCACCAATTTTTTTCAAATAAATGGAATAACTAATTTGTATGGAACCAGAAAAGATCCCGGATAGCCAGAGGAATGTTGAAAAAGAAAACCAAAGTTGGTGGCATCACAATTCCAGACTTCCATTACAAAGCTGTCATCATCAAGACAGTATGGTACTGGCAAAAAACAGACACACAGATCAATGGAACAGAATAGAGAGCCCAGAAATGGACCCTCAACTCTATGGTCAACTAATCTTCGATAAAGCAGGAAAGAATGTCCAATGGAAAAAAGAGAGTCTCTTCATCAAATTGTGTTGTGAAGATTGGACAGACACATGCAGAAGAATGAAACTGGATCATTTCCTTATATCACACACAAAAATAGACTCAAAATGGATGAAAGACCTCAATTTGAGACAGGAATCCATCAAAATCAAAATCCATCAAAATCAGAATCCATCAAAATCAAAATCCTTGAGGAGAACACAGGCAGCAACCTCTTGGACCTCAGCTGCAGCAACTTCTTCCTCGAAACATCACCAAAGGCAAGGGAAGCAAGGGCAAAAATGAACTACTGGGACTTCATCAAGATCAAAAGTTTTTGTACAGCAAAGGAAACAGTCAACCAAACCAAAAGACAACCAACAGAATGGGAGAAGATATTTGCAAATGACATGTCAGATAAAAGGCCAGTATCCAAAATCTATAAAGAACTTATCAAATTCAACACCCAAAGAACAAATAATACAATCAAGAAATGGGTAGGGGCCCCTGGGTGGCTCACTGGGTTAAGCCTCTGCCTTCAGCTCAGGTCATGATCTCAGGGTCCTGGGATTGAGCCCCACAATTGGGCTTTCTGCTCAGTGGGGAGCCTGCTCCCCCCCCCCACTGCCTGCCTCTCTGTCTACTTGTGATCTCTGTGTGTCAAATAAATAAATAAAATCTTAAAAAAAAATGGGTAGAAGACATGAACAGACATTTCTGCAAAGAAGACATCCAAATGGCTAACAGACCCACAGAAAAGTGCTCCACATCACTCAGCATCAGGGAAATACAAATCAAAACCACAATGAGATACCACTTCACACCAGTCAGAATGGCTAAAATAAGTCAGGGAATGAGAGATGCTGGTGAGGATGTGGAGAAAGGGGAACCCTCCTACACTGTTGGTGGGAATGCAAGTGGTGCAGCCACTCCGGAAAACAGTATGGGGGTTCCTCAAAAAGTTGAAAATAGAGCTACCCTACGACCCAGCAATTGCAGTATTGGGTATTTACCCTAGAGATACAGATGTAGTGATCCAAAGGGGCACCTGCACCCCAATGTTTCTGGCAGCAATGTCCACAATTGCCAAACTATGGAAAGAGCCCAGATGTCCATTGACAGATGAATGGATAAAGAAGATGTGGTATGCACACACACACACACACACACAGAGGAATACTGTGCAGCCATCAAAAAATTGAAATCTTGCCATTTGCAACGACATGGATGGAACTAGAGGGTATTATGCTAAGCGAAATAAGTCAATCGAAAAGGACAATTATATGATCTCACTGATACGAGGAATTTGAGAAACAAGACAGAGGATCATAGGGGAAGGGAGGGAAAAATGAAACAAGATGAAACCAGACAGGGAGACAAACCATAAGAGACTCTTAATCTCAGGAAACAAACTGAGGGTTGCTGGGGGGTGAAGGGAGGAGGGATAGGTGGCTTGATGGCTATTGGGGAGGGTATGTTCTATAGTGAGGAAAAAAAATTTTTTTCAACAAATGTGTTGGTTTGAAAGCTTAATGCCCTTTTAAGAAGGGACTCACAGTATGACAGTTATATTCCAAACTATATTACAAAACCACAATGATCAACACAGTATGGTACTGGCATAAAAACACACATAAATCTTTTGTGTCTTGGGACAAAATAGCCCAGAAATAAACCCATGCACATATGGTCAATTAGTTTATGACATAGGAGCCAAGACTAGACAATGGGGAAAGGACAGTCTCGTCAATAAATGGTGTTGGGAAAACTGAACAGCCACATACCGAATAATCAAACTGGACCACTACCTCACACTGTACACAAAAATGAACTACAAATGGATTAGTCTTAAATGTGAGACCTGAAACCGTACAAGTCTTAGAAGAAAACAGGCAGTAAGCTGTCTGGCATCAGTCTTGGCAATGATTGCTTGGATGTGACACCAAAAGCAAAAATAAGCAAGTGGGACTATATCCTAAAAAGTTCTGCATAGCAAAGGAAACCAACGAAATGAAAAGGCAACCTACTGAATGGGAGAAAATATTTGCAAATCACATATCTGATAAGGGTTAATATCCAAAAAACATAAAGAGCTCATACAACTCAATAACAAAAAATAATCTGATTAAAAATGGGCAGAGGATCCGAATAGATGTTTTTCCAAAGGAGGCATACAGATGAAAAAGCACTGAACATCAGTGCCATCAGGGAAATGCAAATCAAAACCACAATGAGATACCACCTCACATGCGTGAGAAGGGCTACAACCAAAAGACCGGAAATACCAAATGTTACTGAGAATGTGGAGGAAAGGGAACCCTTGTGCCCTGGGGTGGGAACGTGACTTGGTGCAGCCACTGTGGGAAATACTATGGAGGTTCCTCAGAGAGCTAAAGGTAGAATTACTCTATGATCTAGCAGTTCCACTTCTGGGGATTTATCCAAAGATAATGAAAATACTCAAAAAGATAATATACATGTCTCCATGTTCTTTGCAGCACTGTTTACATTAGCCAAAATACGGGAACAACCTCAGTGCCCACTGATGGATGACGAAAATGTGCTACACACACACACACACACACACACACACACACACACACACACACACACAGGTATTATTCATAAAATTCCATAAAACACGATGAAATCTTGCCATTTGCAACAACAACCCTGACAGCATCATGTGAGATAAAGTAAGTCAGAGAAAGACAAATTCTGTACGATCCCACTCATATGTGGACTCTTGGTGACAAGAACAGCAGCGAACCAAGCTCACAGATACCAAGAACAGACGGCTGGTTGCCAGAGGTGGTGGCGGTGAGGAACGGGTAAGGCTCGGGGCTCAGAGCACAGCGTGGCTACCGTGGTTCACACTGCATCGCAGACTGGAAGCTGCTGAGGGAGCAGATCACAGTACTCATCACAGGACAAAAATTGTGTACTTATGTATGATGACGGTGTTAACCAGACGTACTGCAATCACTGCGCAATATATACAACCAGTGAATCATGTTGCACACCTGAAACTATGCTGTCAGTTATAGGTCAATAAAAAAGACCCCAAATCCCCAAAATGCCCTTCTAGGAGGGGAGGCCTGGCGTGTGAGCTGTCTCTCCCCGAGGGGGCTACGTATTCTAGGGAGTCCGAGGAGAGCCTCACCACCCTAAGATAGCCATGGAGGATGGGGGTGGGGAGGAGAGACGAGGGACAGCTGCTCTTCCTCATCACCCGTGCCGGTGGTGGTGGGTGAGAGGTGGGAGGCAGAGTCTTTCCAGGTGCCTCAGCGGTGGAATCAGGGCAGGACCCGGGAGACTATGGCCCCCCACCATTGCTACCACCCAAGCAGCGAGGCTTCTGTTTCCTCTCCTGGAGTGTGTGTTGGTTTCCCTTGTGGAGAAGGGTCTGCGGGCCAGGGGAGCGTGGAAGCCTCCCCTCCCGCCATCAGCTGACTCCCAAGCGGCACCTGGGCCAAGTCCTCCCTCCCCTCCTCCAGCCCTCCTGACTACTGTTCCTCAGACCTTACCTGAGAAAAAGAAAGATTGTTTTCGGGGACTCGACCCTGTGGTTCTTGGGGGTCTGGTGCGCCAGGTGTGGCCCAAGGGCCTCTAGCAGTCCCGGATGTAGCTTTTCAGCCTCATCGAAGATGAACAGGGTCTGGTGGCAGCGGTCCTGTGTCTCCTTGATCTCACTTGTTAGCTTCTCCTGCACGGAATACAGGGAGCTGCGGGGAGCTGGGGAGCAGGGGGAGGCCCAAACTCATCCTTCAGCCCTAAGGCCGCGCTTTGGCGTCTGCAATGCATCACGGGCTCCCACCAGCTGTCAGTCCACACTTCTGGGGGTGCGGCTAGGGCCCACACCTCTTATGAACTTCCCAGGTGATTCTCATGCACCCTGAGCTTTGTAGAGAGGAAGAGGGCTGGCCTGGCCTTGGAAACAGGCCCCAGCCTGCAACCTGCGTCCTGTGTTCCAGGGTGAGGTCCCATCCCAGAAGGAACCAGTCAGCCTCCCTGGGGGTAGGAGTCAGGCTCTAATATTGGGGAGACAGGCACAGCAGGTTCACGTGCCCAGAGGCGGCCAAGTCCCCTTTCTTGAACTCCCGGGAGCAGGTACTCACTAGTACCCAGGCTAGACTGAGACCTCAGGGGAGAAACCTGGGTGGGACCTGTCTGGGACTCAGCCAACTGGCCCTTGGGGTACCCCACCCCTAGCCAGAGAGTCGAAAGCCCTCTGCAGTCTTCACCGGGAGAATAGGGCCAGTGTCCACAACAGGTGGGTCTGTCAGCAGAGGCCCCCTCCACCTCTGGCCTCCCCAGATTGACCTCAGACCCATCGTGCGCGCGCGCGTGCGTGCGTGCGTGTGTTTTCTTTCTGCGAAGCCCCGGCAGACTAGCCACCAGCCACCGGACCTTAAGACACTTCACCTCTGCCCTCCGACACTGCACTGAAGCGGCAGCCGACTCAGCCATCTCTATCCTCAGAGACTTATGTAATCTTCCCAGGTTAACACACTGCGAAGAGTGGAACTGAAAGCCAGAGACAGATGTCCTGCAGCAATGACATGACATTTTGTTCATCCTCTGGCTTACCTAAAATACTACATGTCTAAATGGAAGAAACCCACAAGAGCAGAGCGGCAAGGACAACTTTTGTCCCACTGATTGTTTGCGATTTGGGGAAGACGTGGAAAATCTTGTATGATATGCCTCCTTAAAACGGGGGAGGGCAGGATACGGGCGCCTGGGTGGCTCAGTCTGTGAAGCATCTGACTCTCGATTTCAGCTCAGGTCATGATCTCAGGGTTGGGAGATGGAGCCCCGTGATGCGCTCCATGCTGGCGTGGAGCCTACTTCAGATTCTCCCTCTCCCCTCCCTGTGCCCCACCCTCCCAAAAACGCAGGATCTGCAACTTTCTGTCCAGCGTTAATCACAATGACATAAAACCGGAAGGAAGCACAAATGTGAACTGTGCTTGTGTCTGTGTGTGGAGATTCTGATAAAGTGTCTGCTTTTGTCTGTTCCACATTTCCTGCAAAATTCCCACTACTTCAAGAACAGACAACCAACACTGGAGCCTCTGTTTAAGCTCGGTGTGCAGCTGATAAGGAGACAGAGCTCAAGATGCATGCTGTTTGAGTATCAGTCTTTCCCCCACATGCTCAGGGCCTTATCTCTGTGGAATGGTGTCACCAGCGCCACCGACCCCCACAGCCAGGCTTCTCTGAGGCCACCTCCTTGCAGGGAAGGGCTGACTTCAGGCCTTCCACCGCATCCCAGAAGCCTGCTGCTCAGGTTGTCAGAGCCTCGTTCCCGTCCCACCGGCCCAGGCCTCCGGTCCTGCCCGGCCTCACCTTGTAAAGGTCCATGTACTTCGGGTGAGGAAAGTGTAGGGTGGCGATGAACGTCTCGACGCAGTCGCTCCTCAGCCCATCCCGGTACAGGTTCTCTGCCAGCAGCCGCGCCACAAAGTTCTTGCCCGTGCCGGACCAGCCGTGGAACGACAGGGCCAGGGCCTTGCCTGGCTGGGGCAGCTCCAAGTAGCCCCTCACCGCGGTCAGGACCAGCTCCCGAGCCAGATGCTGGCCGTGCAGTCGCACGCTCAGGTCCGATTCCAGGCCTGGGACGGGGAAAGAGGCAGCCATGGTGAGGTCGCACAGATGTGGTGCCCCCTAGGCTCAATGACAGCAGGGAGACTGAGCACCTCTGACATCTCTGAGGGGGGTCCTGGGGGGGTGCAGCGGGGATTATCTGGCCTCAGAATAAGAAACCACTGGACAGACCTGGCAGCCCAAAGGGATTCAAGGGCCATTTTCAAAGGGTTTGAGAAATCAAAATTGAATGTAGAGAGAGAAGGGAATCACCCTGAAGGTCCTGAAGACACCCCAGAACGGTTGACAGAGGGCGGCTGGGTGGCTCAGTCGGTTAAGCATCTGCCTTCAGCTCTGGTCATGATCTCAGGGTCCTGGGACCAAGCCCCCTAGGGGCTCCCTGCTTAAAGGGAAGTCTGCTTCTCCCTCTGCCCCTCTCCCCGCTTGTGCTTGCACCTGCGTGAGCACGAGAGCTCTTTCTAATACATAAGTTAAAAATCTTAAAAAAAAAAAAAAAAAGAATGGTTGGCAGAGTCCTGTCTGGAGGAGGAAGTCCATCCCCATGCCCAAGAGATTGCTCCCACCCAGAGATTTCGGGAACCCCTAAGTGCTTTATGGAGACCACCTCACGTGAATAAACAGTTCAGCAAACACTTATTGAGGGTGGCTAGTGTGTTCAAAGTCTTCTGTGAGGCCTTCCTTCCTTCCAGCCATGAGATCACAGGGTGTGGAGAGGGGTTCTGGGAGTCACGGCAGAGACAGGGAGGCTATACTGTCAGCCGTGGGCAGGATGATGAAGGGTGCCTTGCACCATAGCCATTCCCCCTGGACTGCCTCTCCTCCCCAAAGATCCCCAGCCCCTCAGGGCCATGCAAGGTGCTACCTGTGAAGTTGTTGGAGATCCTGCAGTCCCTGCTGTCGCAGCAGGCCTGGAAGCTGCAGTACCACGAGGTCAGGATGTCCAGGTACTGCTGGCCCAACAGGGGAAGGCTCCAGCCTGGAAAAGAAGGGAGCTGTAAGACGAGGGCAGAGCCCAGGGCCATGGGGAAGGTAGACACGGTCGCCCTGCAACCAAGCAGAGAGGTTCTTCTTGTCCTTGGTCCTCCCTCCAGAGCTGCTCCTCACTGCTCTTCCATGGGCCTGGCTTGTGCCTGGCCAGGGAATGAGCTGGAGAGGGCACCCCCAGCTTGGAGGAAGTCGATGTCCTTGTTATGGATACAGCTCCAGCAAAGGTTCGATTTGTTCAACACATAACGCCTTTGCCAGAAATGTAAGAAAGCCAGAGCTGCCCACAAGGAGTTCGTGCCAGTCTAGCAGGGAGACCAACAGCAGCTGGTGATGCTCATTCTGCCTACTTGCTGTGAATTCCAAAGCGATGTGATTACTGCCAACCCCAAGGGCCTCTCAATTCTTTTGTCAAATGTCAATTTGAACATACCCAGCACTAGCAAAACCACAAAGAAACAAAGCCCAACCACTGGGACTTCGAAATCTTTTGATTTCAATGAAAAATGTTCACAGTATCATTGTAGGACTATCATTAGAATAGCATTAGGGACCTAGAATTTTCGACCCAGACTGCAAGGAGCTTCAGAGAGCATCTGGTCCATAACAGTAATGTGACAGATAACCCTGGTGCAGAATTTGTCACTGACCAGCGGGAACCAGAACACAGGTGCGGGGCTCTCAGCGGCAGAAGAGAGAAGGGACTGGGGTCGTGTGCAGCCCGGGACTCTGCTGAAAGCCCAAAAGAAGGCGGGAAAGAGCAGCTCGATGGTGGACTGGGAGACTCAAGGAAGTGTGAGCTGTCTGGAGGGGTCAAGGACGGGCGCCGAGGGCAGGGCAGCCACCCAACGAGTCCCCTCAGCAGCCCCGGGGCCCGTCCGGGTGCATCCGGGGGAAGGAGATGGCCTTGTTATGGATACAGGCCGGGGATGCGGCCCGGTCCCCAGAGGCACCCCTGCCCGCAGCCCGGGCGGAGGCCGGGCGGGGTGGGGCGGAAGGGCGGGTAGCCAGGGCGCCTACCTGATGGCCGCGGCCCGACAGCCGGGACACTGGCGCCCGGCTTCCCGGGCCGGCGCACGTTCCCCCGCCGCCCTCAAACCCCCAGTCCCCGAGCCGCGGCCGGAGGACCCCGGGCGGCCGCTCTTACCCAGGAGCCCCGCGCCAGCCTCCTCGGCGCGCTCACAGTCCTCGGGCCACACGCGGCAGCGCAGGAGCGCCCAGTACCGTCGGGAGAGGGCCGCGGCCGCCCTCAGCCGCTCGCGCAGGCCGCGGAGGGGCTCCTGGGCCCCGTCCGGCGGGCTCGCGTCGTCGCCGGGTTCCGGCGCGCCCGGGCGCGGCAGGAGCAGGAGCAGCAGCAGCAGCAGCAGCGGCAGGCGGAGGCGGAGGCGCAGGCGCAGGCGAGGCATGGCTCTCCCGCCGCCGCTCTCGGTGGTGCCGGGGCGGCCGGGGGGATGGCAGCCGCCGCGGGAACCGAGGTCCAGGCCGGCGGCCCGAGCGCACCGCGGGGCCGCCCGCAGGCACCGCCCACCGCCGGGGCTTGCTTCCGGCCGCGCGTTTTTCTGGGGAGCCTGAGGAGGGGCGGCCACCCGGAGAGTCCCCTCGGCAGCCCCGGGGCCCGGCGGAGGCCGGCCCGGTAAGGGCCCCCGTCTAGGCCTTGCCCAGGCGGCGGATGAGCCCCGGGCCGGCTCGCAGCGTGTCGCCGGGAGCCGGAGCCGGGGCGGCGGGGTGGAGAGAGGCCCTGGGGAGGCGGGGAGCTCCTCCACCCCGGGAAGTGAAACGCTGCAGGCAGCCGCAGGTCTCCACAGCTGGGAGTCCGCCCGCGGCGAGCGGAGGCCTGAGGGCGCCAGGCTGGAGATGCTCGGCTTCTGGAAACCCCCGTCAGGGACACTCCACTGGAGGAAGTTCGGCGACACTGTGGGCGCTCTCTTGGCTACGCTTGCAACTTTCAAGTGCTTATGACCTCGAGCCGCTCCTCAGATGGCACTGGCAGGACTTGAGGGCGCCTTTCCTCCGGGACCCTGTCTCCACAGCATGAGCCGGCCACCTACCTGCTTGTCGGATTTCAGAAGACCTTACTGCATTTTTCAGAATCACCCGAGTGACGGAAGCCACTGGCCTCACGGGGCTCTCTTGTCCTTGGAACAAGGTGCTGTCTAGAGGTCGTGGGACTCGACTCATGAACGGCACAGGCTCCGTGGCTTTGAGGTTGGGTTCTGCAGGAGTAAGGTGAACCCCGACGCCAGGCCTCACAATGTCCGTCTCTCAGATCACGCAGCGCACCATGTGCTCTTTCCTCAACAGCTCCCCACATCTGCCCTCTCAGAACAGCTGCAGAAATCACCCGAGCACCCGTTAAGACACCACCACAGTTGCACTGGGGCACACTGTAGGTCTCAGCCACTCAGAGTGATGGCAACACTGAACCCAAACCTCCCACAGGGCAGCTTCCCCAGCCCTGCTCCACGTGCAGGCAAGCCCGGGACACCTGGCACGGACCCTTGACAAGGAACACACCTTTACGCTTATCGGGAAATTGAAAACACGAACTCAATCAGTGAATGAGCCTGAATGCCAGCCCAGTAGGGCCTCTACCATTTCCTATGTGTGACCCTGGGTATTATTTGACCTAGGCCTGATGCCCCACCTAGAAAATGGCATAATAAAACAGTCACTTGACTGGGGGCCCTGAGCGTTAGTGAGCTCATTCAGTTTATAAGTGAATTTATGGTGATAAAATTACTAATAGTAACACTGGTTTCCTAAAAAAACCCAAGTTTTGGGACTGTGAAAATAACACTCTCTACTGTTAACTTTCATGTAGGACTAACTGCTAATTTCTGAAGTGGTCTGATTTGAATTTAGCATTTAGAGGCAAAGTAGGCAGCTGGAAAGTTCTTGGACAAATATCTTGATTTCAAGAGGACATTTTTTCCCTAAGAGTAAAGGTAAACGTGTTTTTTTTTTTCTCCACCTTTGTCAGTTCCACACAGAAACAATGGATCCAAACACCAGTTTTTAGACAAACCTCAGATTTCAATAAAACATTTCGTTCTCAGGGCTTGGAGGCAGTTGGTTCCAAGGCTAGGAACGAGATCTCATGGAGGATGGAGACATCTAGAGGCTGTTGTGAAAACTACAGGCCGCCATGATTCCTTAGCAGGCAACCCCCTCTCCAGGCTACTGAAGTCCAGGAGCTTGTTAAAAAGGCAGAATCTCAGGCCTCAAACCCACTCAATCAAAATCTGCATTTTAACAAAGTCTAAGAGAAAAACGGGCATACAAACCTATACTGAGGTCATCAACATGGCACCAAGCTTTGCCACGAACCTCTTCTCAACCCGGCTGGAGGCAGACGGAACTTTCTCTGCCCTGAAAACAATCTCTGAGTAAAAATCAAGCCTTTATCTCCAATTACACTTGGCATGTAAAAAGCAAATTCTGAAAACATAAAATCAATGTTTCACAGTTCATCTATACACTGGTGGCTCCTTTGTTTAATGTTTATACTAAGGAACAACTGAACACAGCGGACTCAGAGGGTCCTTTCAAGAGACAGGACACGCCTGATGGAAACCTTTCCATGGTTTCCCACACCCCTGAAGGAATGAAATGGCGCAAGGAAGCTGCGTACTTCAGAAATTGGGCTTCTACATACAGGGCAGGCCTAGCTCACTCTCCCCTTCTTCCATGTGGGTTCTGCCTACCTCTCACCCTCCGGCCCCCCCGGGATTCGTTCCTGCTCTGGTTTCTACTGTAACTCATTGACATCATTCCTGACGCACTTGGTGCTTCAGTTTCCTTCTGTTGGGACCATCCGTTCTCGAGGGGTCTCCCAAAGCCCAAATGTCTACCGAAGACCAAACATGAACCCTCCCTACTCCCAGCTGCCTTTTCCGAGCTTTAATACCAGTCCTTCTGATATGCTTGAAAAGCAGACAAAGCCTGAATTGTATCTGAAAAAGGATCACTGAAGAACACGAGGCTGCAGCCTCCCACCAGTATTCAAGTGCACGGGACAAAAGGTGGCACAAACAAAAACGCGACAAAACAAGTAGAAACTCAAGAAAGTCGGCTTCATTGTCTAGCTGGGGTTTATGATGCTGGATTTCTATTTCAAAAGTTAAAAAACTGGCTGTCCGAAGAATAATCATCAGGTCCCTGGTCTCCTCCACATCTGTACAGTACTGGGCTGATAGTAAGTTCTTCAAGATTTGTAATGCTTTACTTCTAAAGAAGCTGCAGGAATGGGCTGAACTACTAAGTATACAAAAAGAACCTAAGAATTATCCAATGGAAACTTCTGGTAGAGTCACAACGTGGGATGGGCCTTTTGGAGGCTAGTGAGTAAGTGCAAAGGTCTTACTCATCAGATACCATGAAACAGTCCCCGTGGAGGTTTAAGCGGGCGCAGGAGTCCTCTTTTTCTGTCCCCTAACGAAACAGACAGGAAGCTGGAAAAGAGAACACTGAAAATAGCTTCAAAGAAGGGGAAAAAAGGAATAAGAGGAAAAGATGATACAGCGATACTTATTAAAATCTTTATTCACTTTTTTCTTCTTTTTCAGAATTGAAACCCATAGAACACATTAGAAACTTGGGTGCATATCTGTCCTGTTTGGTGTCTTACCAAGCCCAACCTCCTGCTGTGTGACAGCTCTGAGAGGAAATCCTTGGCAGATCAAAATCGAGGGTAGCGGTTCCTACACCTCCCTTTTGAGCAAACTAAATTAGCTTCCCAGTAAGTTACTCCCAGCTCCCCGCCTTACACTTTGTATTTGTGAGTAACACCTTAGTTCCTTAAAAACCTGTGGCAGTGGAGTACCCAGCCCCTGCCTTTTCAACCCAGGCTGGATGCATCGAAGGGAGAGAAACTGGCCTTCCCCCGGACGATAGGTTTCGCGAAGTCAGGTCTGTCTGGCTCCCGCATGTGCCTGGCCACGGCCGGCTCTCCAGAGGTGCCCAGAAGGTGCCGGCTGAATGGTCTCTATGTGACTTCAGAACCATTCACAGAGACTAAGGAGAGACCCATTCACTAGCTTCAAGTTCTTCAGCAACATAAGTCAGTGTTTCCCTGTGTCAAAATAAATACGTTTTTTTTCTTGCTACAATACAGATACGACTATATACAGACATATGCCTTTACTCATGTTTCCTGAAGCTCAAGCTCACAAGATCACTCCTACAGGACAGCTCACTGACAGGCGCGGTTTTTATCGCCACTGAGGTGTGGTCACTTACAGTCAAGTAAGACAGGGACCATTGCAAATGGACGCTGAAGGAATAAAGGAAAGCCAAAAGTCTTTTTTCTTTTCTTTTTTTTTTTTAAGGAAATGAAAAGATGAATTTCCTTGGAAGAACTTATTGTTCAGGAGACACTGAAAAATTGACATGTACAGGATTCATCTTCCCCAAATAATATGCAATAGATGTACCTGAATTCTTCCATTTCCTCCTTAAATTTCATTTGATATATTAGTCCTGAGTGCAACAGGGAGAAATGCCTTATTAATATATTATCGAACAATACTCTGAGCAAATCACAGATCCTATTAATTTGTTTTGCACAGAAAATTATTTACACCCAAACCCACAATAGAGCCTCATATTAAAGAACAATTTAGAGTAAAACTTCTATACCCATATTTCCCCATTCAAACTCTGCAATAAACGTATTTAAGAAGTGGGAGGAGGTAAGGAAATGGCATTCAGTTCTGATTTTCCTAGTTTGATAGTATTAAAATGTATCCACTTCTACCTTTAGATGTTGGCTAGGCACACCCAACCTAGGACTGAACAAGACCACTTGTAGTGACTTGTCTAACGGTGCTAAAGAAACCACAAAGAGGACACAGTGACAAAACTTAAAAAAAAAAACAAACAAACAAAAAAAAAAAAACAGCCTCTGTTTTTCCAACAGAATTTGGTTTTTGTGACTTTTAGGGCTATAAGGTTTTGGTTGGTATTCTCTAAGATTAGCTTAATCCAAACCTGATTAGAACATAAATCTATGTTCCAAGAGTCCTGTGACACCACCCTATTAGTGAAGGACTTTAAACATGCTAGATCTGAACACCTCTTAAGATCATGAATTTTTTAACAGCAGGAAACAGAATGAACTCATACATTTTCTGCCATGTTTTGAAAAAAGGATGGGATATTCCTTCCTGCTTGTTTCCTTAGCAATATCTTCTGCTTTCAACATTATGAAGCAAGCTCCCAGTTGGAGAACAAGTCTTACTCATTCTGCTGTGCCACATAACAGGTACCATGTGTCTGCAAGGACACTGGGCCGTCATTTGGTTGAACCAACAAACCCAGGCAAGCCCGCTGCCTCCCACCGTCTCCCTCCAGCCAGCTCCTTGACACTCTGGGTGAGCACCATCCATGATATTCTCCAGCTCAGCTGTGAATTCTACTCGATGCACACAATAAATGGTCCTACAATTGAAATCTAAGGCCTCCTTCTGTTAACATCGTTTCAGTGTTTTGTGCTAACCTGAGACTCAATACCTTCTCTTAGAACTCAACCCATTCTTGTGGATGTCTCCAAACATACTTACAAAGTACAAAAGTGTCCTGACCTCACGCTGTTGTTAACAGTTACAGGCTGCCCAGCTGCCTTTCAATGCAAGAAAACGAGGACCTAGATTCTAAGCTGTTTTTGAAAGGCTGGCTGCCCCACACTGGTCTCAGAGGCTGGCACAGCATTTGCTCCCTCACACCGTTGAAACAGCAGCTTCTGCCTGACAGAAGCACAAGGCTGGACCGGCCCCTAGACAGGATCCAACAGCTCACAGGTCTGGGAGGCTCTGAGGAACACAGACCAAGCTGAGCCTGGCCTTCTGTCGCTACCAGGTCAGGGACACCAGCGCTCCACCACCAGTTCTGAACGCCCGATGAAATTAAATGAAGAAATTCGGGTTGGACATAAACCAAAATCTTAAGGCTCTTCCTGGTAACCTCCTTCACTTTGAGGCTCAGAGAGCTTCAACTCTTTGTTCCCAGTCATCGGCATGGCCCACGTCACAAGACTGGTCCGGCCGCCAGCAGAACGCGCGGTCGGCTGAGCGAGGGAGCTGGCTCTTCCCATGAGAAAGGCACAGACAGGAACTGCCAATCTCTTGGGAACAGCAGCTTCAGTGACCGAATGCCTTAAAGGCTGAGGTGGAAATCATTTCAGATGAGAAATCGGGATGGCGGAGATGGTAGGCAACTTAACTATCATCAAGGTGTTAGCTCAGTTTGCTTTGTTAATTCAGAAAGGATTTGCCTGCTTTGGGCAAAGGGAAAAAGAAAAGCCTCCACGAGAGCATCCTGCTTGGACAATCTGGGGGCTAACTGGGATGTAACTGTGAGCACAGAGATCCACTGAGGTTCAAGTCATGTTTGCTTCTCTACACTCGCGGAGCTCAAATATGGGGGGGCCTCCCCGCTTCCGGTGCCGTCTCTTCCTCCCTCCTCTAAGAGCTCACGGAAAGCACTACCAGCCAATCGCTTAAAAGCCCGAGCATCCTTCCTGCTGTTGTCGTTCCCGCTAATTAGATCCTAAACACGCATCCCTGCCCACAGAGCATGCTATTGGGCTCAAGAGGCCCGGTTTCCCCGGCTGCCACTCCGCAGGAGGCGGTCAAATTCCCAGCCGGATCCGTCCTGGTGCGAAAAGGACTCCAGAGATGGCCAAGGGTTTTCAGAAACTCCATCAGGGTGGAGAAAGGATTCTAAGGATGAACTCAAACCACACACTCCAGAACCAGGCCCAGCATTCACCTCTCCGCACGCCACCCCTCTATCTGTCCCGTGGCACGCGAGCGAGGACCGACCAACCAGGAGGCCCGCCGCCGGGAAGTCGGGGGGTCGGCGGGAGCGCTCCCGTGGTCTGAAACCTGTCGTCTTTGCTTTCGTTTCTCCTACAGAAGTGGCCAGAGGCATCCAAGGCCACCCTGACCCCCGTCACCAGAGCTTGCTGCCGGCCGTCTCCGATCCCCCTCATCCCGTTCGGAAGTGATTGTGCTGTTTCTCTAGCTTTGTAAAAAGGAGTCTCGCTTATTCTGTGGAGCGGATTACAGGTGGGAGAGAGGCATCCTGTCTTCCACCAGCACGGTGTCCGCCCCGAACTGGTCAGTGCACTGCTTCACCGTGGCCAGCACGCTCAGGAGCCGCTGCTCGGCGGCGTCCAGGTGGGGCTCAGACAGCACGGGGGCGATGGGGTCGTGGGCCATGGCGGACTTTAAGGCAGACTTCAGCACGCCGTTCTTCAGGTAGTTCAGTCTGTTCCAGGTGGACACCCGAATGCTGGAAGAGAGAGTTGTAAGGGAGATGACGTGAAACCTCTTACTGTCAAGAGGAGTTTAAAGCCTGCTCGGTGGGCAAAAGTCAAGAAATAATTATGTAAGACGTTTCAACTAAGAAAAAAAAAATCTGTTTCCAAAGGACCTCTACATTACCACATTTTGAGATTTTTTTCTAGGTAATTAATTAGAGGTATATGCAAAGATTTATAAGTGTTCATTCCAATGTGCAACTAAATTTGTAACGGGAAAAATGTGAAACAATACGAATGTTCACCTACTGAGAAACAGTTAAAGGCATGGCTTATCTGTTCAAGGGAATACCATGCAGCCATTAAAAACAGTTCTGGGGAATTTAATGGCTTGAAAAATGCCCATGATATAATACTGGGTGGGGGGAAAAAGTTGGTGGGAAAAAAGTTTTACTCCAAATCTGTGGGAAAAGAAAATGTGTGTGTATGTACACACACACACACACACATACATCGACAGACATACACACACGGTTAGAATGAAGTCACTATGATGTTAATAGGAGTTAGCTTTATACCTTAATAGGTAGTTTTAACTCTCTTCTTTCCATGCTTCTGAATGTAAAAAATTCCTACCAGCAATATTATAATTAAACTACAATATCAATATTATAATCCTACCCACTTCCTGTGGGTAATGTGAGGATTACGAGGTAGGCACAGAAGTCCGACTCTGCAAGAGGCAGCCTGGTCCGCATCTACTTACAAAGGAAGAGCGACCTTTGGACAAAGCACGGAAGGGGCAGACAAGCACAGAGGCCGTACGACTTTACTATTCTCAAGTCCACGACAAGTGCCCCCAGCATCAGAGCCTCCCCTGTGTAACTAAGGCATCACTTGTCTGCCTCTCAGCCCCACACCTGTCCTCCAGAGATGTACGCCCTGCTATGACGCGGAGAATTCCTGGAAGCATCTCTCAGGTCCATGTTCTCCGAAGCGGTCACTGGAGGGAAGCGAGGACACCTTGGGCTGCTGCACAGGTGGGTCGGTCGGTAGGGAGAGCGGGTCATCAAATGGCGCTCTGCCCCGGGCCACACTACCAGAATGAGCAGGCCCTCTTGACATGGAAACCCGAGCCCCGAAGATAGGCCCTCACACGTGCCCTGCCTGTGACCGAGGCGGTTTCTCCTGAGCTGTCCCTCCGTTGCCCTGACCCCAATGCAAGTCACTGCCTGAATGTGCATCCCAGAGGGCTGCTTCCTGTTCAGGCAGGGCCTGCAAACTAGCCAACTTCTCTGCTATCCTGTGAACTGAACTATCCTTCTCCATGGAGGTCTACACCCTAGCCTTGGCGACAAGGTTCCCTTCCAAGTTTGTCCTTCCTTGGGTACTCTCCCTCAGCCCTACAAAGCTTCCTTTTATAGTTATGCTTGTATCAGAGCTTCTTTAAATAAACTTTCCCATTTATTTTTTTGAATTTATTTTTTAAAAATTTTTATTAACATATAATGTATTTTTTGTTTCAGGGGTACAGGTCTGTGATTTATCAATTGTCTTACACAATTCATGTACTCACCATAGCACATACCCTCCTCAAAGCCCATCACCCAGACACCTCATCCATCCCACCCCCTTCACTCCAGCAGCCCTCAGTTTGTTTCCTGAGATTAAGAGTCTCTTATGGTTTGTCTCCCTCTCTGGTTTCATCTTGTTTCATTTTTGCCTCTCTTCCCCTATGATCCTCTGTCTTGTTTCTCAAATTCCACATATCAGTGAGATCATATAATTGTCTTTGATTGACTTATTTCACTTAGCATAATACCCTCTAGTTCCATCCATGTCACTGCAAATTGCAAAATTTCATTTTTTGATGGCTGCATAGTATTCCACTGTATATATATATACCACATCTTTTTTATCCATTCATCTGCTGATGGACATCTGGGCTCTCATAGTTTGGCTATGGTGGACACTGATGCTATAAACATCGGGGTACAGGTGCCCCTTCGGATCACTACATTTGTAACTTTGGGATAGATACCCAGTAGTGCAATTGCTAGGCACAGGGTAGCTCTATTTTCAACTTTTTGAGGAATCTCTATACTGTTTTCCAGAGTGGCTGTACCAGCTTAAACTTTCCCATTTAACCTACTGTGTCTTTTCTAGCTTCTGACTGGATCAGACAGATAATACTGTTATTCCAAAAACATCTTCCTTCATAGATGTATGTGGTTTTTGACTGGCCATACTACTGCCTCCTATTGATGAAAATAATTAAGGGCTCTTGGGGCAACACTTCCTGCAGAATATTGTACTGCTGCTACTAAAAACAGAGGCCAGAGAAACAGCCCAGCTGCAATGAGGGGCAGTTGGATGGGATCTGAGGGTCTCAGGCGGTGAGCCGGTAGGACACGGTGCTCCCACATTCCTTTTTCTGTGTGGCTCAGCAACGTGCAACCCAGCAGATTCTTAAGGCTCCCCTTCAAACTGATACCAGCCATAATGCTTTGAAAAGGAGCTCCTTAGAGCCCGCTCTTTTATCTCATTTTGATTTACCTTCTAATTTCTTTGTTCTCGAACACAGACTTTAAAAAAAATACAAGGCTAAATGCCTCTGAAAAAGTTACCTTTGGCTTATACACTTTCAGACTGAGATCTGCAAACCACAGGTGGTCTGTGGTGGGGAGTGAGAGGACTTCAAACCCCAGGGTGAACATGGTACAGGGGCCAGGGATGCAGACTGTACTAGAGTCCTGGTGGGGAGAGGACCATATCCTGATATTAAAACAAACACGAATTTGTATTGAATAGATCGAAAATTTCTATTCATACAAAGTTTGAAATGACTTTTGAGCTCCAGGGGTTCTGGCCTGGAAAAGCATGAGAAGCATTTGCTCAGGTCTTAGGAAGTTTTAAGGCCTGGAAAACGGATGTACTGTTACGTGAGACTGGAAAGGAAGATGACACAGGCCAATGTATTTACTGTGAGGAACTTACATGCAACACTGATAGAGGGGGGCAAGAATGCTTCTCTCGTCCAGCGATGGGTTCCCAAAGCTGAAAATTAAGATTAAAAAACTTAGTGAATTACTTAGTGGCACCAGTTGCCTTCTTAGCATCAAAGCGCAAGTAAATTCTCTAAGATGACCCAAATGTGATCCTAGATAATTTCATGCTCCCACGGCTCAGATCACTTAAATTAAAAATAAACAGGGCGTGACCAATCAGACACAGGATTCCTAACAGTCTGCACTGCAGCATCAAACAACAAATGTCCTCATGTACATGCCTCCTGCGTCCCACTGGCTATGGCATGGCGCTGAAGCAGAACCGCGGCATACGGCGTGGAGCCCACGGGCCACAGGGAGGACCCGAACCCCTGGAGGTTTTACGGGCGCGGGGGAAAAGGCCATCCCCACGGTTCCCACTAACACACAGATGGTCGTCACTTGTAACAAGTTGTTCTACCTCAAAATCAACAATCAAAAAAGAGCAGGATTATCCTTTCCCTATAAGTAAGTATATGGCCAGATTCAAACAGGACAAGCAGCTCACAGAGGCTGAGAAAACAGCGATTCAAAGCATCTGTAAAAATGACTTCGGCAGTAATTCAGAGGTACACGAGAAGTGGTTCTGGAAAAACTCAATCTTCTACTCCTCTCCTGGAAGCTCAGCCTTAGCTGGAAGGTCTGGGAGCTCTGAGCACAGTGCAGCCCTCAAATAATCAACGTCTAAGGCAACTATTTCCACAGCACACACAATCATTAAACAAACACACAAAGATCATTTGTATAAACCAGATGAATTTTCAGGAACGCATGTAGCACTGGCCTCCACCAGCTCTGCTGTGCGTGCCGGCCCCCACGCTCTGCAGGTGGCAGCCCCCTTCATGGAGCACGAGGCCCCGGGGCTTGGGGTAACACAGGGTGCCACCAGCAAGCGCCGCTTCGGTGTTCTTCGCTGAGGACCCCTGGGTCTCAGGTGAGTCTCAGCACCAATGTGGGATAGACCCACGTTGACCAACGACCTAGAGCCTGGACAATTCTGGGCTCCAAGGAAGTGTTCCATTTAGCACTTATTAAATGTAACTAGAGTACAATACTCAATCGGGCACCATGGAGAATGCAGGGCACACAATAAAAATATAAAACGCTCTTCAAAGAGCCCACGCCAAAAAAATTAAGGACCATCCATTTATTCAAAATAAATAAGACTGTCTTAATCAAGATAAAAGTAACTTGTTTTTATGTATCAAAAGGAACTGCTCTTCTTACGATCACAAAAAGTCTGGGCCTAGACTGCCATAAATGTAGCAAGACATTCTATTAAACTGATATTTAAACTACATGAACCTTTGGACAGAATCAATTTAATAGGAATTAAATTTCATGTTCTATTAAATATGTATTTCTCAAGATTCTAGACACCATAGTCAAGGAAGAATGACAGAGGTAGTGACACATCAAAGACCTTGGCATCCAGCTGTCTGTGTTGAGAGTCAGTTTTAGACTCCTGAGGGGAAAAAAAAAAAACCCACTTTGCCATTTTTTAAAGTCCTCAGAACCCTGAGGGCAGAGGAAGTACGAACCCTGAGCAGGATGGAAGGATGGGTGCCAAAAGCAAAGACCCTGACCAGAAATGGGAAGGATACCTTCCATCCACTGTGTCCTAGACATTTCCTGGGATGTCCTAGAAAATGTCCTTCTTGTATACATAGAAAGCCCTAACTAACGAGGATGGTCCTATGGTCCTACCTTTTGGCATTATCGAGAAGGATGAGCATACTGGCGCCTTCGTCATCTTGAAAACTCTCATAGTGATGGCGGTCTGCGTTGCCGATCAGGTAATCAAAGACAGCGGTGTCAATGATGTCCAAGAGGCGGGGGCCCGAGTCATAGGGGGACGTTTTCTTGACAGCATCACAGTAGCTCTCGTCGTACTCCCACCTAGAGGCAAGGAGCATCACCAGCATTACAGAGTGCCAGCAGCACTGTACCGGGCTCTGTTTTGTTTTGAGAGAGAGAGAACGCAAGCGCGGGGCAGGGCAGAGGGAGAGAGCAAATCTTCAGTGGACTCTGCCCAGCACGGAGCCCCATGTGGGACTCAATCTCACGACACTGAGATTACAACCTGAGCCGAAATCAAGAGTCAGACGCATAACCAAGGGAGCCACCCTGGTGCTCCTGTAGCTGGCCCTGTTTACAACACAGAGAAGAGATGTCCCTTGCCTGGCAGGTTTGCTCCCGGACCCGCCTCCTTGGACGGAACAAACTGGGGATTCGTGGGAGCACTCACCTGGCCAGTTTGCCCTCGCGGTATGTCCTGCCCCACGGGTGTCGGTGTTTCTGCAGAGGCCACACATCTGGAAGCCAAAGCGTGACAGATCCCTCCATCGTGTCTCCATCAGCACAAGCTGGCTCTGTTTCTCGGCAGTAATAACACTTCCCATAGAAACAAGTGTTATTTCCTACAGGAGAGAAAGGAGCCAAATACACTTAAGGGAAAAAGGAAAACTCCAAATTCTCCCCAACAATGTAGAAGGGAGCAGCTAAGTGAACAGATCCTGCAAAAACAATGATCCTGAATGATATTTAAACATTTATTTATTTTCTATACATGTCATAAAAAAAGCACACAGTGAAAAAAAAAGTCAAAGGGCAGGAAAGGATGTATATAAAAGTCTCCTTGCCCTTGGGGCCCCACTACCCAGTCCCTCTCCCAGGAGTCAAGCGGCATCACCACTATCTTTCTGAACTCACTCTAGGGAAAGTCATGCCCCTCCTCTTCTGTCAGGGCCGACACTCTGACCAGAGCACCCAGGGGAGGGAAGAATGGGCCCATCCAGGGACAGGCTCTGGGCTGGGAGTGTGGGTACTGGGGGGGGGGGGTGCCAAGCAAATAAATAAATACACTGAGGATAATGGAAACCAGGTTTCTCACAGAGGGAGAAGGGAGATTAACACACAGAAAGGCAGAAAGCCAAAATAAATCTTGTGGTGTTGAATTAGAACTGGACTGCAGCTATTGGTTGGAACAGAGATACAGAAAAAGATGTGTGTGTGTGTGTGTGTGTGTGTATACAGCTTTCCTCCCTCTGTCCCTCAAGAGAGCCTGGAAGCAATGACAACCAGGTAATAAAGGCAGTAAACACCCAGCACTCACATATTAATTTCCAAATATCATTTTACTACTGTATTAAAGGGACCCAGGGCTCCTTGGAGAAACTGGTGACTCTAGGGCTGGGGCAGAGAAAGGGTCTTACTGCTATTCCAGGGTAAGGAAGCACTCAGAGAATGACGGGAACATTCCAAAGGATCTACAAGACAGTGTGTAGGAGTTCCCGCTCATCAAACCTGGGACAGCATGAGCATCAAAATAAATAAGAGCAAATCATAACTCTGAGTCAATTAAGAGTCTAAGAGTTCATAGTGATATAAACAAACAAATAACTATGTAAATGTGGGTCACATGGGGAGAGTTCTACCCTTTAGTAGACTGGTGACTATTAAGTCTAGAAGGAATGAAAAACTAGCAAGTAACTATTTGACAACTATCACAGTAGTAATTGATCCAGGCAAGAATCATCAATGAATGCTAAAACTGGTGGGTAAAGGCTTGATGCAGACGGAATATTTACATAGTTCTAGACTATATCATTCCAAAGTACCCCATTAATAAAATACTAACTGGACACTGGAGAAACCTTACAGAGACCTACCATCTTAATCAAGGGATACAAGTTAACATCACCAGTAACGGGCCACAGCAGCAAACCCCCACCACGTGCCTCCTGACAGGACATGCCAAGAAGGGCACAAGAGCACTTCTCTGGTATTCCCGCCAGCACATATAAATCACGAGCAAACATCAGACACACTCAAATAAAGGCATACTCTATAAAGTAACCAACTTGTACTCTTACGAATGTCAAGGTCATGAAAAAATAAGGAGAGTGAGGAATTGTTCCAGATAGACAGAGACTAAAACGACATGACTATGAACACAACATGTGATCCTAGACTGAGCTCTGGACTTCTACAGGGCATTACAGGGACAAGGCAAAATCTGCACTCCAGGGCCCATGGGTTCGATGTGGGGCTGCATCAGTGCGCGGTCAGTCTCTCGCTGCTGATGACTGGATGTGGGTGTGGAGGTGTGGGCCCTGGTGGTTGGGGGTACTGACGTCTTCACACACCTGTGTGAGGAGCATTCATGTTGCACACTGTTCTCAAATGGTCCAAAAGTGTTAACAATTAAGGAATCTGGGAGACTCTGAACCATCTCTGCAACTTTTATATAAATCCAAAATTATCTCAAAATAAAAAGTTTAAAAAACAAAAACAATTGAAAAAGCTTAAGTAATGCTTTTTTGGCACTCCATCCCTATTAAATACAGCCATCAAAAGAGCGGATTTCCTACCTGTAAACCCCTCACATACTCCTTAATGACTGTTCTGTTATCACACACGTGTCCCTGGAGAGACGAGCAGCCCTCAAGCCTCTGAGTATTTCTAACCCCAGCAGAGCACACACTCCACACCCAACCGCAAAGCTGATTCTGTCACTCTTCCATCTTAAAAACATTTCTAGGTAAAGAAAATTTGAACTAATGGAACAATATACCACATATATAATGTTCATAATTATAAAAATATAAACTTATAAATTTAACCTGATCCCAGCAAAAACAGCAATAGATCTTTTAAAGAGTAAGGAGCCTGACGTGGGGCTCGATCCCAGGACCCTGAGATCAGGACCTGAGCTGAAGGAAGACACTTAACCGACTGAGCCACCCAGACGCCCCTGGATAAGATTTTTTTTTTTCAATTTATTTTTATTATTTTTTTTCTCCCTGTCATTTTTTTTAAAGATGATTTTTAAGGTTACAAGAAACAAGAAAGAACTGTTAGCAAACTCTTAAATAGCAGAGAGAGGGGACTAATCTTACCAGGTATCAAAACAAGATCAACTCAGTAACAGATAAGAGAACAGAAAACCCAAAAACTAAAACACATAGAAACAAAAATTTATTTCAGTGGGAAAAAATCCCCAACCAGTTAGAGCCATACTTCATCCCACACACTAGGATAAATTCTAAAACTATGTCAAAAACTTAAATGTGAAAAATAAAACTATAAAAGTAGTCAAAATAAAAAAGGTGGAATTCTTCCATAATCTTTGAGAGAGCAAAGCTATGATTCACAATCAGGAAGTCTCTTAAGAAAAAATGGATTACATTAAAAACAAAAATGTCTATAAGGCAAAAAAAAGAAAAAATTCCATTAGCAAAGTCAAAAGAAATTAAAGACCTGGGGAAAAATATTTATATCACAAAGGACTATTCTCCCTGTGTATGAGCTCCTATACTTTGAGAAGACCAAAGGCAGAGCTGAAAACGAACAAAGGATACACAAAGACAGGTAAAAGAAAAATACAAAGGGCTCTTAAATAAAAAGCTGCTACATGTGCAACAGACACAAGCCAAAGTTTGGAAACACACCGTTGGTGCCGCTGGCGGAACAGAGGCGTTCTCCCACGTCACCACTGGCAACGTGAACTGGTTGAACATTCAGGAAAAACACATATGCCCTCTGACCCAGCGCTTTCACTTCTGGATATATTCGATCATGTCTGAAGTAACATATGTTCACATTAATTCTGGACAACACTGGTTGTAAAAAAAAAAGGATTGGCACTTGTATGTGTAATAAAAGTCTAGTTAAATGAACTACGGTAGAGCCATACGACGCAGCATTTTGCAGCTGGTGACACAACAGAAGAATGAAGACTCTCTGTATGTGATAATAGATTTCCAAGATCTGTTAGGTAAAAGATTAGGTGAAAGAACAAGATGCAGAAGTATGCAAATTGTGACATACGTTTCACAGAATGGCAGTTAAATAAAAATATATATTCCTATTTCGTACCAAAAGGACAAAGAAATTACCATTAGAGATGACCACCAGGAGGAAGGAGGGAATGGAGGGAGAAAGGAAAACTTTGCACTGCAATCTTTCTAATATTTTTTAAAAATTTTGAGTTAGGTGAATGTATTACTGATTCAAAAAACAGTTAGAAAACAAAGCAAAACCCTGCTTGGTGTAGGAAACCTGCTGCCCACATGACAAAATCCGAACTCCTGAGTCTGGTAAGACCCTTCAATAAGTGAACGGAGTATGTGTGATGGTTGAGTGGGAAGCAGGATCAGGTTTCTGGGGTTAAAATATGGACCTTCAACAAGTCATTAGACATAAGACTTTGGGCACGTGATCCTAACTCTCTAAGCTTTCTCTGTAAAACAGGTATCAGTCCCCTACCACTGCGTTGTGAGGGGTGAGATAATCTGCAGTAATGCTCAGCACAAAGCCTGACACAGTGTCGGAGACCAATCAATGCCGGCTACTTATTATTAATAATCTCACTCCAATCGTTTTCCAGACTTCAATATCTAATTTGCCTAGGCTCTGAATCTTTTATCATTTCCTGGATTTTTTAGCTTTTATAACTTGCTTTCTGATCACCCTGGTCTCCGTGCTCTTCTTGGATGAACTACCACCTCTAATAACCAAATCTAACCCTCCAGCCCAGACTTCTCTCCTAAGCTGTAGACTGTCTAAAGCCCCTAAAAGACTCGTCACCATTCACTTCTGGATGCTCCTGTCATGGTAAGACTCTGTACCCAATTTCACTGTGGAGAACTGCATTCTGCGACTCCAGCTGGGCCCCCTATGATTCTACTCAATGCTGACACTGTCTTCCCAGAGTCAGGAACCGGTCCTACTGGTTGAAGGTTCAGTCCCACGAGACTATGCCCCACTTCAGAGGCCAGCTCTAAGCCTGGGTTGTCACCTGCGCTTCTGACTGGCTTATAAATCAGGGGTTTCCATGAGCCCCATCTTGGGGTTTGATTTACTAGGGCAGAAGAATATACAATGGGGAAAGGACAGTCTCTTCAGTAAATGCTGTTGTGAACATTGGATGGTCATATGCAGAAGAACGAAAACTCTCTTACACCACAGACATTAATTCAAAATGGACTGAAGACCTGAACATCAGACCTGAAACCATAAAACTCCTAGGACACACAGGCAGTCTACTCCCGACATCAATCGGGGTGATGGGGTGATGATTTTTTGGATATGATACCAAGAACAAAAGCAACAAAAGCGAAAATGAACAAGTATGACTTCATCAAACTAAAAAGCTTCTGCACAGCCAAAGAGACAATCGACAAAATGAAAAGGGGCTAATACCCAAAAACAAACAAACAAACAAAAAAAACTCCTACAACTCAAAGGCAAAAAAAAATCTGATTAAAAAGTGAGCAGAAGATCTGAATACACATCTTTCCAAAGATATACAAGTGCCAACAGGTGCATGAAAGATGTTCCACATCACTGGTCATCAGAGAAATCCAAATCAAAACCACAACAAGATACCATCAAACATACAGACAAAAAGTGCTGG